ATGCCCAAAGCCATAAGGGGGACTATACCCACCCAGATCCACCGCCGGGCTGTTTGTGGGTCAATATGGTTTATGCTGAGACTTTTTCGAGAGACTCCCAGATGATTTTCAGTGCAAGCTTACAGCTTTCCTGCTTATAGCCATAATTCTTTTAAGCACTTCCTGTAACTTACTGGTGGTTAGTATGGAACAAGGGAATATATATCGTATATGATCCCTATCTAATAAATGTACTCGCCTATTCCCTGCTAAGCCCCAGTAATATAAAGCTTGCGCAGGACGGTTCACAAACCAAAGCCAATTCCACAAGAGGCTGGGCTTCAAGTCAGGGGCTTGTGAGGTTAAAGACCCTTATGATTGATATTATACGGTCATTACTACTATTATGACTACTGCTATTTCTATTATAGTTCTTACTATTAATTCTATTATAACTCCTTATTCTTAGTATTCGTAGTACTATTGCTACTAAGAGTAGCATCAAGTTTCACAGAGCTTCCTGAGTTCGCATTGCTTTGCTTATAGCATTTGGAAGACATGAGGGAATCTTGCAACCAATTTTGAAGAACGGAGAAGTAGGGCCCACAAGGGTTCTGGAGCTACAGACTTCTGAGCTTCAGGTGTCAAGTTTCTTCCATTAGGCGAGTAAGACATGCCTCCAGCTCTTATCTTGGCTCCCTGAGGCCACACCCCACAACCTGAGACTATAATACCCGCAATTTGGAAATCCTTCCTCTGCCCAAGGAGTCCTTGCCTCAATGGAAACTACCATAGTATATTGGGGTTATATTGGGAATAATGGAAAAGAAAATGGAAACTACCATAGTATATTGGGGTCAGGATCAGCAAACCTTGAAGCCGGAGGGTGAACTAGGCTTTAGGGTTTGTGTTCTCAGGGCTTAGGGTTTGTTTCCGAGTTTTAAGGGTGAGCTAGGTAGGGGAGAAAAGCCCAGAGAACCATATAGTCCCTTATGATTACTCATTGTAACTTGCACGAGTGTTTCGTGATATACCTATACCTAGCCTTAAACCTTCCAAATTACCATAATTAATCGCGCTTTCCATTTCATTCTACTTTCTTTTCCATTTGATTCTCCATCATTGGGCACTATCCTTAAACCCCAGCAATGCCATTTTCACATGAACCCCTAGCCCAGCAATTCCATTTTCACATGAACCCCTAGCTAGGGCCAGGAAATATGGCAGGTGGGCCCTTCATCCTGCGAGCCACTTCTGGTGTCAGCACGATACTTATTCTCCCTAATCCCCCTTCAGCACCAGTAAGAACCCCCTCAAGATCCAGGGTTTAGGGTTTAGCCAGCATGGTTGCAACCTCGGACGCAAACCCCCGACGCGACAATACCCTATAATTCACAATATCGTCATGGGGGTCCGCCCAAACTCGAGGAACATTGGAAAGGGCCCCAAGTATGGACCGCTATAAAATACTATCGTGTGAACAAGGGGCTCCCCAAGATTGGCCCCTGATTTTTTGAAGCCCCCATATAAAGGATCCATATGGGATAGAAATAGAAAGGGGTTATATAGGGGCTGCATGGGGGTATATAAGGATGACAGAAGGCAAGAAGCTGGGACAGGGCTGTCCTTCAACCCTACCACTTGCAAGACTTTAGAGTTTAGGGTTGGGAGGCTGAATGATGTACACGCTTTGACAGGTTTTTGAAGTGGGACTGTGTCTGGGGACATTTCTTGTGATTTGTATTCGGCAGCAGCCACTTTACCCTAAAGACTGAACCCTAGGCCCCAGATCCTCAATCCTAAAACCTAGACCCTGGACCCAACCTGTACAGCCCGAAACCGCAAACCCAATCGCTTTGCAGCTAGCAGGTGCCTGTCAACGTATTTCAAGAAGAGATCGTGCAGGTACCTAAGGCTCCGGCATCACATGAGCTTTTTTCTGCATGAGGGCACCCCTATACAAGTAGGCCTTATGCGGATCTGAACAGAGTTACCATACAGTCCCTATGTACGACCTTGCATGAACTGTTAACAACAGGTATGTTGGAAATCCAATCATTCAGGCGGAGCTGCCTAGGTTGAGGGATTAGGTGCTGGTTGCTGTTCAGAGTCTAGGCTCCTCAACCTTCCTTGCAGGGCGTGATATCTTGCATTTACCTTTGAAGATGTCAAGATGGCAAGTCGAATCGACACCCATAAGGAAAGCCCCGTGCTGGCGGAACCTGGCATTTAGGCCCCAAATACATGGATTTTTCTATGTGTGTTCCTTCTTACCGCCTGGTTGGTTGTACGCTTAACCACTGGTCGTTTTTTGGAAAGGCCTGGGGTTTCCTGAAGGTTGCGATGTAGAAGCCTGAATTCTTATCAGAATCTTCTCTTGCCCACTACCCCGCCTACACTTCTACGAGTGCAGCATTCTCTTCGAACATCGGGCCCACTTGCTTACCGACTTTGACTGCTCACCAGTCTCGCTGATGCGGCCATTCCTAAGAGCACCAGCAGTACTACCCTCTAATCATTGCTTAGTAACTGCAGGTAGCAGTATGTTTGTTGCTAGTTACTTTGCAAGCTCTTCTCAACTTTGGGCCCCCGCAGCAGTGAAAAAGGCCCCTGGCATAGAAACCCATCAACATGAGGATATAACCCGTACATACCCCCTATATAACCCATCATAGTAGTTTCCATCTTGTTTTCCATTATCCCAATATGACCCCAATATAACCCCAATATTACCCCAAAGGGGGGGGGCAATGGAAGATGCAGGTCATCACCCAGAAGCGGCGGAAGGAAGTGGTTGTGGAGCAGGCCCGGAATAAGGAGCATCTACCCATTGGGAAAATATTATGGCTATATTGGGAATAATGGAAAAGAAAATGGAAACTACTATAGTATATTGGGGTTATAGTGGGAATAGTGGAAAAGAAAATGGAAACTACTATAGTACATTGGGGTTATATTGGGAATAATGGAAAAGAACACGGAAACTACTATAGTATATTGTGGTCCCCATGCTGGATCTCTTCCGTCCAAACCAGGGGCTCAGGGGACCTGCTCCTTCCGCAAGCAGAGAAGATGCTTCATCCAGAGCCTATCTTGAAACTTCCGCACCACTTCTTTGTTACATGCCATGGGGCGCGCGTATCATTCTACAAAGGCTGCATATGTTTCCATTTTCTTTTCCATTATTCCCAATATAACCCAAATATACTATAGTAGTTTCCATTTTCTTTTCCATTATCCCTATATACCCATAATATTGTTGGGATGTGCAGAAGGCCGTCAAACTTAAGGCGAGCCGCATGTTCGAGCTTGCGCTTTTGTGGCCGGGTTTGGAGTGCGAGGCTCCTGATGTAGTGTGGCCAACGTACATGGACGATGTCGATGTGGCCGATGTTGGTACCACCGTCGAAAGGAATTAGTGTCTTGAAGTGCTGCACTTACTAAGATTTTTTTTAAGCTACCTGCCGACAGCGTTCAGAAAGGTCTGGCAGCTTAGTAGCCCATGCTCTTCTCGCGTGCAAAAGTTTCGACCCTGGACACAAACTCTGATTGCCACAGCCCCCCTTTTGATTGGCATAGAATTTCCAGCAGACGCACAGCCTATGCCATCTGGGACGAATTGAAAAATCTCTTTGTGCGTTGGCCTCCTGTGGGGATCCTTATGACCTGAGACTTGTTTGGCTTAGGAGGCTGACATGAGGGCCAGACTTGTAGCCTTGCTGGATGCATTCCCCGTGCCAGGGTGATCGCTGACACTTGCACTCCTTCCGCAAAGAGATAGGTCCGAGTATGACAAAAGACGTCAAGCTCCTGTAAATCTGTCAAGTGTAGCTGAGTAGCTCACAGCTACCAATCACTCAAACCCTTGCTCGATTTCCCTCCTCCAAAAGTGGCCAGGAAGTGGAGGTCCCTGTGCCCCGCATCAGTGAAGAAGTCGTGCCGTTGCCAGTGATGATGCAGCAGGAGACGGAGTAAGTTGTTTGGGCTGCTTAGAATTTGAGGGCAGAGGTTCGAGGCTTCTTCAAAAGGTCTGAGGACTTGGGAACCCTCAGCCACCCAAGTTTCAAACCCTCCTGTCCTCGGGCAATAGGCTCTTCTTTTTCTGGTTAGGTATGTGGGTTTATCAAACTAGTCCTTGCGGAACCATTCCTAAAAGGAGGTCCCCACATCCTAGAGTGTGTGGTCCAGAGCCCGCGGCTGCTGCTAAACTGCTAGACGAGCTAGAATGTTACCAACAGGTAGTGTGCAAGCACTAGAGCACTGCGCCTCCACTTGATTTGGAGATCCGGGAATCCTAAACTTAAAGCGAGATGCTCTAAACCTTGAACCTGCAAGTCTCACGAGGAGCGCGTGATCCATCGGCCCATTCAGCGCCTCATCGACGTGCCCGTGCCGCAGGTAGTCGAGGAGGCGCACAGGGAACGTTTTAGGGTTCAGGGGTGCCAGAGTGTCTTTCGAAATTGACCCAATTCTGGCCAAGCAGCTGTAATTTTCCCTGGGTGAGTCCAATCACAGGCAAAGCTCTGTGCGGCTGAACCCTTGACTTTGGGTTCTGCGGCTTTACAGTTTGATGAGGTTCTTGAGCTTGACATGCGAACTGGATAGCTTGTGTCGGATTCCAAAGTCACCGACTATGCAGGCACCAAGTCCATTGTTGCCTACCTCCATCATGCCCCAGTGTTTTGATTGATGCCCACAAGGGCTATGTAAAGTCTGACTTGCTGGCAGGGTTCTGGAGGATGGATAGTAAGTTTCTTTCTCTCTTCCTGCGACCATTCCTCTGCATGGTTGAGATGTACCGTTGAGGCCTGCTGGGCTTGGAAAGAATGATGTCAAATGCTGTCACAACTTCGCTACATTGAACAGCCATGTTTTCGAAGCAGCCCAAGAACAACGTGCTCTTCTCTGACCTGGATGCGGGCAAATCACAATCATACCTCTGTAATGTCTAACATGGTGTTATAGTATGCCTTCTCTATCCCTGAAAAAGATGTGAAAATGTGAAAAGAACAATCTACTTCGCAACCTCAAGCCCTTTGCCAGGAAGTGGAGGTGCCAGTCGTCGTGGAGCAGGCGGAAAATGGCCTTCCTTATCGTGGTTATCTTTATTGTGGGTGTGTACTCAAATCACAGGGTTCCTCTGGGCTCAGTCTCCTGTTGTTCAGGGCCCCCCGTGTTTGTTACAGTTATGCACGTTCAGTATATTACCTTTACTCCAGTTCCCCTCATGACTACCATTGCCATCTATTACGTGATAGTTATTGCAACAATGAGATCGGATATATGGTAGTTTCTCAAAGTAGGGGGACCTCAATATAGGCTCTAAAATGCTATAGTCCTTATTATGGGGACCCCAAAAAAGGACCCCTGAAGCCCCCATATCTCTTGCCAACTCTAAGCCTAAGCTAAGCCAAATCTGCTAAGTTCCTCCAAGTCTTCAGGCTGGTTGTTGCTAGTGGCAGATGTGGGAATGTCCTGCCACCATCCATCCATCCATCCATCCATACATACATAGATACAGAGATGCATACATACAGAGAGACCCGGCATGACTCTTCTGTCATCTCCCTGAGATGGAGCTGTACCATCCCTCAACTCTTGCAGCCAACTACGAAAACCCTGTGGACATGAGCTGGCCAGACCCTAAACTTACTGGTTCTAAGTAGGAAATATGAGAATAACTTGTGTCTGGATCATATAGGGATTATATGTAAGTAAACCTGAGCACCTAAATGTAGATCAGCCTGTACGCCGAAAGTCAGGGCCTTGAACCTGTGGAATCCTCATCCCCAAGCCTCAAATTCCCAAGTCCTCAACCCTTAGCCTTTAACTCCCCAAATCCTCACACCGAAGCCTGAAATCCTTGGAATCCTCAACCTGAAGCCTCGACTCCTTCACCCCCAAAGCCGTAAACTCTCCGGAGGAAGAGGTTGTCCCCAAGCTTGTGGAGCAAATCATCCCGGCGACCCGACTGCTGGCGAGATAGGAACCTCCAAGTCACACCTTTTTTTATTTTTTTTTATGCTGTACAATGCCTATGTACTTGAAATATCACCCCTACATGATTCTTATAGAGTACCAATATACTGTCTGGATAGTCCAATTTCCTTTATATACTCCATCATTTGGACCACGACGCTGCCTTGATGATCCGTATTTGGTGGGCCTCAAAAAGAACAGGGGCGCCCGGAGTTTGGGAATTGGGAGGGTTCTCAAGTTTGGGGTCCCGTCTTGGCGGGTACGTGATTGTTTAGAGTTTGGGGTTAAGGTTTAGGACATGGAGATTGTGGGATTTTCCTTCGCTCCTTTGAGATGATTGGACCTTCAGTGGCTTGGCAAGAATTCAGTTTGATTGGCAGTAGCATGGGATGCAAAACTCATGATTAAAGTCATTGCTACTTTGCAGCAGCAGAAATAGATAGTTCCAAAAATTGGCCCTTCTTGCTTTTCGAGCTGCAAGCCATCGTGAGATCAAATCCTAGAGCGCTGATCTGCAGTAGCACGGCATCGGAAGGATAGAGGTGCCTAGCATAGCAGGGAATCAGTACTGGGTTTACTGATTGAGGGTTTAGGGATTAGGGTTTAGGGATTTAGGGTTTAGGGGTTTAGGGTTTAGGCAGGGGCCGATTTGATTCGGGTTTTGGGCGATGCGCTTGATGCACTATGGTTAAGCATCGATTTTGAGGCAATAGCATTGATAGTTATTCAGGCTTCTACATTACATAACCCTTTTGACCCCCCATATTACCACGGTTTCCATTTCATTCGTTTTTGTAACGTCTCTTCCACTTGATTCCCCATTACTGTGGCTTTTTATACCTGTATAATCCCTATATGAATCCTATATCCATTTTATCTTCCATGTGACTATCCATTTGATTCTCCATCATTGGTGTAATATCCCTAAACTCCATTAAACCCTTATAAAGCCCAATATAAACCCAGTTCCCCTTTGATTTTCCATTTCTGTTCAACTGGGTTCTCCATTACCCCGAAAATACAGCCATAGGGCCGTCAGCATGATCCCTATATAACACCAACGTCCATGTTTTTTCCATTTCATTTTCCATTCTATCCCCCATCATTGGGGTAATACATCCCTAAACCCTAAATCCTAAATTCTAGACCATCATCAACTTAGCCCTCAGATGTTCTATCTCCAATATGGCCATCAATAGGTTTATGGTCAGGTCAACCGGCCGCAGATCATCGAGACGATCGTGGAAGTGCCGAAGGTAGGCCGCCTGAGAAACCCTAAGCCCTAAACCCTAAACCGTGTGGATTGCTTTGGCTCTTGGGGTCTAGCCCGTCTGCACTCAACTACTTCCAGGTGCAGGCTCTGCAGCAAGGGGCATCAGGGAAGTTTTTTCACAAGGAGTGCGATTTTCAGCGGGGGTTGATCATGGAGCAACTTTGCTTCACAGCCCCGGGAGCTCTTATCGGTGCAACGCGATATTTCTTCCGCCAATAGCTGAACAGTACCGGATCCTGAGCATTTGGAGAAATGAGCTGGCTCAATGTCGCGTGCCCCGCCCAATATCGAACTTGTATTTCAAAATATCCCTTATTCACAGAACCCCTCACGACTTGCTTCTCGGTGGGCTTCCGAGTTTCCGAAACTCTCAATTGGTTTACCGCAACAAGGTCCAGATCGAGGAGAAGATCATCCACGCAGCTTGTCTGTCTGGATTTTGACTTCAAGGTTTCGGATGCAATGTTGAAGCCGGAATAGTTAAACACAGTAGTCGCCAAAAAAATCCCAACAGTGTTCATGGAAGCTATAATGCAACGTCTCTCCGAACCCACAACCGCAGTGGTGCGTGGCACATGCAGGCATTTAGCCGGTTGCAATAGATTGAGCTTGTCCATCCAAAGGTGCCAATGATTCAGCGCAATTGGGTTGATCGCGTGCGCCAGCACCATGTGCAGGCCGCCTGTTGTTTTGAATGCTGGCGCTTAGTAGTGGCATTAACATCATGAGTGTGGTTTTCTTGTATCGTTGTGACTACTACTCTTCTGATAATTGTTGCTACTAGTCTTCTTCTTGGTGCTAGTAGTGGATGCAATTGATTGTTAGTGAGAGTGGGAGGTGAACTTCTCGCATATAGATACCCAGTATCCTTTGTAGTCACGATTAGTAGGCGGGGCCCGACTTAAACGGCGATCATAACCTGATGAGCACAAAGCCCAGGTTTCCGGTTTGAAGTCTGGTGGGCAGTTGTCCTTCTGATATGGTTTCTCAACAGAAGGGCTCCCCAATGCACCAATATGCTGCAACCTTGATTTTAACTTCAAGGCGTTGCAGCTTTAATTGCACCATGACCTGAGTGTTGTATCTATTTAGGGCTCGTCTTCCGATTTGTGCGAGTGTTTCGATTAATTTAGACCTCTGACTCTGATTAATAAGCCCCCTCCTTTCAAGGGCCTTAACATGAGGATCCCTATTTCAATCCCTATTAAGGGGATGGGTTTATTGATTAGGGGTCTACATTGTTGATTACATGGGTTTAGGGTCTAGGTTTGCAGTTGAGTCTGAAACAATGCAGAGGCCCTCTGGAGTCTTTCCGCCAAGCCTGGCAATTGGAGAGCCTACTCCGGAGCAATCCCCTCCCCCGGATGTCTGACTCCCCACCCCCAGATGTTGGCCATTTATTTCCAATATATTGTAAGATATGAGGGTTTAGGGTTTAGGGTTGATATTAGGGGAAGGGGGGTATTCCTTCTGCTTGTTAGTTTGCTATTTGTCCTGGCCAGGACCGGGAACCCGAGGTTCCGCATGACCTTGTCGTTCCTTGCACACCGTCCACGCGTTTATCCCCCCCGACCGCTTCAACTTCAGAGGGACGTGCCAGGTAAGTCAGCAATGGCCTGCAGATCGTATCTGAGGTGTTTTTCCTTTGACAAGGCCCTTCCCATGCCCCTTCAGGGTCGACACCAAAGACTGAGTCCTCTTATCTACCTCCGACTGGCAGGATTTTCGCTGTACAAGCCTCCAAAATCCAAATGCCAGCAAGCCTTTGGCCTCAAACTTGCTGGTCCGCGCGGTGTTCAGGAACAGGCCAGCTTCATGAAGTATTAGATATATAGTCTGAACTCCTTAGCAGGGGGTTATACAGGGGATTATCTAGAATTTGCGGGATGTTTTTATTGCCTCTCATAACCCTGAAGAAGAATTAGGGCTATCCACTATGAATTCTACTGTAGACAACCTGACTTGTTGATTTTTGGGCAGGTGGTCGAAACCGAGCGGCCCAAAACCATCCAGAAGGTGGTGAAGCGAAGGCTGAAAGCAGGGGCGACACGCTTGTTGCTGTTGTTGCGCGGCTGGTTGTTCTTGCTGTCCATTTTTCAGTCCAGTTTTTTTTAATTGCTATTATCCTTCCCAAAATGACCCTTCTTCCTCATGTTAATATCATTACTACAGATTAATTGCTAGTAGACTGTGGTTCAGCCAGATGACAACAGTTGAAAGGGGTTCATAGCCGATGGGGGCAATAGTGTTCACTTCGCTGTAGGTGCTTTGGTGGCCACAATGTTATCCGTCCGTGTAGCATTGGGCAACGCAGATAGGCCTCAAACCCGAAATTCTTTTGATGTTTACTCTGCCTACCATGGTTGTCCATGGGTAGGCTTGCATGTGGATCTGAATATGGTAGTGTCCCAAAATAGGGGAACCCCAATAACCACCAAATACTGTAATCCTTATTATAGAGACCACCAAGAAGGTATATACCCCTAATTTGGGAAACCCGAAACCAACCCTATATATCCGTATTATACAATCCCCCTACATCCCCCTTTAATTTAAAGGTACCCCTAATTTTGGGAAACCCCGATATGAGCTTTTTCAACCTTCTGGAGAGGTTCTAACTACCATGAGCATCACCTTAGGATGCCTTAGGCCTTGCTGCATGCTTGAGCGCCCAAATGCTCAGAACTGGTTGTGGCCTACTGATTTACTATAATGTAGGCCCGGAATTAATACACCCCCTTCCCCTTAATGGGAATCAAAAATCGGAATCCTCATAAGAAGGTCCTTAAAAGGAGGGGGTTATTAATCATGGGTCTACATTACCCTGTCTTGCGGCACGAGTTTCAACAGGTCTCCACTCATCCTTGCCGGGCCTTAGGGTAATTCTTGCACAGCAGCTCATGAGCCCAAACCCCTCAGACCCCCAATGGATTCTAAGGTCCTGATCGTGGGCCCCAAATATTGGGCCCCTACCTGTTTCCTGAGTCCTAAGAACGGGCTCTTATATGGGCTTCGAGGGTTTATAGGGGTGCATAATGGATATATGAGCTGTAGTCTAAACTCCTTAAAGGAGGGTTCTATAGAGGATTATAAAAGGGACTATTATAGGGGTTATCAAGGGGGATACTCGGGGTTTAGATTATAGCTCATATAAGGACCCCTGGATACACGACCCATAGCAAGGGCTCATGGTTCTAACCCCTAAACCCTAAACCCTAAACCCCTATATCACCCCTGTCTAGCCTCCTATGTAACCCTTATATGTAAACCCCTAGATAACCCCTATAATGGGCTCATGGTTCTAACCTCATATGGATTGACTTTCAGCCGCAGGAAGCCGATCCTCCAGGAGAAGATTGTTCAGGCTTGGGTTTCCGGATATGTGTACAAGGGCACAACTATCATGGGTATCCGTGACCTCAGACTATGGCTAAACTTTTTCATGGTGGGTTTCAACATGGTACATTGTCGGGTAGCCACAACATCAGGGGCCGTAGTATAATAGGGATCCCAAGAGAGGGACCATAAGATGTCGACAAGCCCCCAATATGTGGGCCCTGCTTTGGCAGGTAGAAATGTCAAGCTTGGACTTCGGGGAGTCTGCCCAGAAAGGTTTAGAGTTTACGGTTTAGGAGCAAAATGTAACATGGATGCCCAGATGGCAATGGTTCCAGTTCGTTCCCATTGGGCCATAGGAATCACTTGAGACGAAATTCTAGGTCTTCTCTTGTAGTGGTGTGCTGAGGGCCTTCCGTGAATTGATGCTTCAATCTGCCTTATGGCGCAGACCTGGATGGGAGTTGATAATTTCAAAGGCGGACAGTAGACCATGGCCCTTGCTGCATGACAACACCTTCTATGGCCCTTGCTGCGTGGCAACACCTTCAGCGCCCCAAAGATAGTAGAACTGCCCTCGACCCTCCCTCAAATCCTCAACACAGCTTCTGAGTTCGAAAGATGTATCCTGCAGGTGCCCAAGATTGTGCAAGAAGCTGTGCCAGAGGCTCAGTGTCTCACGCAACTTCGGTGGGGAGTTCTCAGACTTCACATATCACATATAGATTCCCCTTCTGTACACCGTACACCTTATGTCCCAAAGTTGCAGCACCTCTTCTGGCTCACGGCTTCCCAGACCCTCCCTGGCCCCTTCTAGGTTTGCTCGGGCACCCACCCAGGGTTTTAGGGCAACAGGGTCTCCCCCTAAATCCTGAGAAGCTGCAATTGGCAAGTGCCCAGCCTGCCTGAAACCCTAAACCCAAAACCCCAACATGGGCCCATGGATTGTACCTTGCGCCCGAGGCCTGTGAAGAAGGTTACCCAGATGCAGGTGGAGGTGCGAAAAAAAAAATGTCATTAGACGTGCGCTGTTTGAACATGGCCTCGTGCTGCTGGGGAAGTGTAATGCTTACTTACTGTATTATAGCATCATCACAAGCAGCATAACCACCACCACCACCGCCGCCGCCGCCGCCGCCACCACCACCACCACCACCACCGCCACCGCCATCGCCATCGCCATCGCCATCGCCATCACCACAACCACCACC